CATTTTTCCCCCTAATTTTGTTCTTTAATCTATTTTACGTTTTGAAGACAGAGACAAAATTTGACTAAACTCGGCATCACCACTTAAGCTAGCAGGAAAACAACTTCCCTATATATTTGGTTTATTTTGACTGCGTTGGTTTTTTGCGTAACAGGGACTGACCTGTTTCCAAGATTTTGCTAATACCACATGGAATATAAACACCAGGATCATAGAGAGGATTTCTTAAGCCCTAAATGGTGAGTGTGAGACTAAACTATAGAATTTAACTCTCCAAGTCAATAGGAGTTGGCGCAAAAACTTTGTCCATGAGCACTTCCATATTGGGCTTCATTGAGCTACAGGGTTAGCATTGTCCATCTACAGTGTATACAGTCTATGGCTGAATAATGCACTATATAGATGTGTCTTTTCAATTTTACAATAATTAAAATAGACAAAACACAAATCATTTCAGAAATGACTCAGTAAAAGAAAAAAGTAACACATTTTGGCTTACCACAAAAAAGACTTATGCAACATTTACATTCATCCTAATCCATGTTTCAGCTCTGTTTCAGTCACAAAACCTCTTCTTTCAGTAAACCATATGGAACTCTCAGAATGAAACAGCTCTATTTGTGAATTGTTGGCAACGTTTTTGTACTGCCAGAACAGACTTTTGTTTATGAGTAACTATTTGGAAACTCTTTTTATTATGACTTAAAGTTGCAGATGTGTGGCATTATCCTAGACTTAGACTTGGACAGACTTTATTGATCCACAAGGGAAATTGCGTTGTCACAGTAGCTTGCATATATTCCACATGAAAAATAAAAATTATATTTCGATTTTATGCTCAGCAATTAGTCCAAAAGCATCACTTGTTGAGCTGAATGAACCAAAATAATGTTTCAAACTTAAACATGAAGTGAATTGACTTCATGAAAATAAGGTGATTACCTAAATCACACTACAGTTGAAATGCAGTTTCAGAGTTTCACTGTTGATGCAGCTGGAAGGTGAATATAAAATACCAGCAGTTACATTTGGACAGAGAGGCTTTCAGGAAAAACACTAAGCCACTATTTAGACCAGCCCAACCCGACAGGCCAGTGCTTTTCCTCTGCTCTCTCTCCTCTCCTGCAGAAGCTTGGAGAAAAATTCTACTTTCAGACCTTGAACTAAAGTGATAGTCCCAATGACCCGCAGTCCAAGTGTGCATGTGCCACAGAAGATGGTTTCTATAAGAGATATGCAAGTTCTCTATTTCTCTATTAATGTAAAAATGTGTGAAATGTAAATATGATAAAAAGGCTGTCAGCTGTCTGAGCCTGTATGGAGTGAGGAAGATGAGTCCTAGGAAAGTCCCTGTAAGGCTTTTAATCAGATAATCTTTAATGGACTCTTTCTTGTTAGCAGCTCTTAGACCCAGAGTGACACCACTCTGCCCTTGTCCTTGATAATCCATATTAACATCACACAATTATGCAGCGGTGTGTTCTATTGACATATACTTCTAGAATAAGGACACTGTTGAATATTAATGACGTCAGGGTTTTTTTATTGGCCAGAGTATTAGATCTGAAAAGCAATTTACCACTTAATGTAAACCACTGACAATTGAAAGTGATTAGTCTTCAGACACTGACCACACTGGCTAATGTCACGGAGGTGCACTTAGTATATCCCTTTTAAACTGCAAACTCTTGGTTGAGTTTCTTCCGAGAAGGAGGTGGCCTTCATTAAGCCCAAACAGCAGCTCTGCTCTGAGCGCTTCTTCTCTAACCATCTTCCATTTAGGATCACTCTTTACACGTATACAGTACTTACATTCACTCTGACAGACTGGGCTCCTAACCACAGGGGAGTGATGGTGTATTCCACTGTTTTTCAACTAGTGTGCTGTAGCCCGTTGGTGTGCCACGAGATGTTTATTAGAGTGCCTTGGAAGTGATCAAATATGACCTGCTTGGTCAAAATCATGTGAAAAGAAAATAATGTGAGATTATTAGAAAAAAAGTGTGCTTCTTTGATTTGTTATATAATACACATTGATGAAAATTAACTTGCTCTGTTAATAAAGGTTTCAATTTTGTATCAAATTCAGTGCCATGTGATTCTGTGCAGTGAGAAAGGTGTGCCACGGCTCCTGCAGTGCCACACTGGTGTATCCTGACTACAGTAATAGACTTTCATACGACGATACGCATTCAACCAATATAAAGGAAATGATTCCATCTATCTCATGGGACCAAGAATAATGGCGGCGACGCTGATACAGGAGTATGACAGCTTTCTCACACATAATGGGCATGGAGCTCACGGTGTTAAAAAAACAGGGTATGATTCTGTGTCTGATTTGAACACGGATTATTGCAATGGTTCGTTATGTCGTGTAGAAAGGACTGATCTGATCATATGGAACAAACAAATAAAGGTAAAGGTGCACTTTATTTCTCCCCTTAGGTCAGTTCATCCTCTGCATTTGACCCATCAGGCTTACGTCAGGAGCAGGTGGTACTCGGCTTGGTCAGGACTACCAGAGCTGGATGATTTACCCATTGCACATGTTATCAGTGGTAGAGGAGCACCTGGAGGAAACCGGCACGGGCTGAACATGCAAACTCCTCTCAGAAATACCCTGTGCCGACTAGGATCCGAACCCAGGACATTCTTGCTGAGGAAAGAGAGAGTGCTATCCATTCAGCCACACTATTTCTGGACAAGTTTCACAAAAAAGGATACTGCTTTAAGTAAAATAGATTCAGATCTGTGTAATATACTCATTGATAAAACAAATGATTGAATATTAATCCTGGGGACAGTCTGGTAGCAATGAAGCCTTCCTCACACACCAAATTCATGCAAACTGCAGAACACCACGCTGAGCAATATTTCTAGCAGAGATTTGGGAGTGTTCTAAATGCTTCCTCGCTGCTGCCAACTCTTCGTCCATTTCATCAGGAAGTGATTTATGGCTGCGCTGCTTCTCTCTGGATGCAGCCAGTATTGATGTTCCGTTTGACTCTGGTCTCACAAGAAAATGAGAAGATGTGAGCTGGAGGTGTGTGTATGCATAAAGTATGGTGAGATACTCATCCTAAATCTGTCCCACTCATAACTGACAATAAATCAAGACGCGGCTTTTTGTGCCCTCAATACAGCCCACTTAGCAATTATGAACTTTCCAACTTGGCTCACATTTATCATTTAATAACTAACGCATACATATTTACATGGGTTAGACCATTATGTTTAAGATTTACAGTTATTCCCAATTGACAAAGTTATCTAGACAATGGATTGGGCAAACTTCTCTTTCATTTATGTAAAACAGAGTGAAGACCGAAACATTAATCCCACATTTTTTTCATAGCTGCAAGGGTTTTGTTGTCTTATTATGTGTTTTCAAATGACAAATCTGAATCTTTATGGTTGAGTTAATCAAATTTGGGGTGGTTGTTACTGAAAAAAATAATTCTCTATAGGTTTTGTATAGTTTTTTTTATTGTGCAGATGACATAGGTCAGGAACACATGACAAAAATCTGTTGCACAGTACTAACAGACATAGACTAAGATTAAATACCACTTTACCCTCACTTCAAAACAAAACTAAGGTTTCTGAAGTTTATTGAACAACAGTTTGACAATAGACACTCAATATTCAATTATAGCAAGACCACGCACTTGCACACCATCACCACTTTTGCAACATCTAATAGTAATAGTCCTGCTTCAGCCTGCATTTAAGAAACCTCAACGACATTCATTCATCTCTGGAGCAGATGAATGAATCAGAAGTTTGTTGCTACTGCTGCGTCTCATGTGGATGATTATTTTCCATTATAAAGCAATAGCCAGGTGCATTATACGCAAAGCATAACAAATCAGCAAAGGCATCCGTGCAGCTCCTACCACAGTCCTGCTAATGCATGTGTTACACCAGGCTGCAGGTGTTGCAGACTGTTGCCACCTGCTCGCTCCATCCACCCCTGTCATGCCCACTGAAGAGCCCTGTGCTAAAATATGTGATGACTGTAGTGGTCTATAAACACACAGTCAACAGGGCTGCTCACCATGTGATATCTCAGTGTATGGAATCACTAACCATGGTGTAGTCAGAGAGATGTAGTTATTTCTACAACGCCAGAGTCTCGCTGACATCAGCGTTATACAAATGTAGGCACTCTGGCAGATACATTTTTGTCAGCAGTGTTTTGTTGCTACACCAATAAAACCCCTTCAACTGTATTTATTGATCTCTACAATTTCTCATTCCCTCCCGAGTATCACAACTGATATTTCTCTAAGGGACGTATGTCCTTTTGTGTTAGGACAAATATACAAAAACCATTCTCTCACCCCAGACACTTCCTCCGTGGTGTTCTCAACCCAGCTGAGACTACAGCCCCTAGGGGTCCTGAGCCTCCTCCTGGTGGAAGATGGCCAGACCAAGGAGGCCCCAACACAGAGGCCTCAGCTGAGGAGGAGGATGAGCAGCAAATCTGTTTCAAGCTGATCACCTTATTGTATCCATAAAAATATTTTTGCTTAATTAGCAAAGCACATACAATTCCTTTAAAGACTAAATTATAGTTCACTTAACAATTGAATAATGTTAGACATTACACATTTCACAACACATTATGTTTTTAATGAATGCGCTGAAAACGACAGCAAGTCCTGAAAAGCTCTAAAACAGTTGTTTTGTGCTTTTAAATTGTCATTTTTATCTTTTTCTACTTGAAATTACTGCAGTATAGTTTTCATGGTTTTACACAGATCCAGACCAGAGCAGAGAGGATGCACGGCCCGAAACCAGCAGATCATGCGTGAATCCACTGGCATATAGAATTTTACTCTGAACCAGAGCAGGGAAAATGGTCCGAATCAAGCAGACTCAACCAGACATACATCAACCAGAGGATAGGAAGCAGCTCATCCCCCTGCTGCTGGGACCTAAAGTGATATTGCACTTTATTACTATTGTTAGTAAAGATCCATGGTGCCAAGTCTATGGTGCCATCATGGGTGCACCTCTCTTCTCTCTCTCGACTTCCGGGGGCGGGCTCTACAGAGGTGGGCGTGGCCGGGGCTCATGCGTTGACGTCAGCGGCGCTGTTCATGGCTGAGGTGCTGATCACTACCTATCGCGGCTCCACGGTTCCTTCAGTCCGCGTCTTTGTCGCTGTGAGCAGCTGCAGCCGTAGCCCACGCACCGGAGCTTTCACACACCGACAGACGACAGCTGCTACACGCACATGTGCACCACGTTTACCACAGGTACGCTCCTTTATTCTATCAATTCAGAGCTAACACGCGAGAGACGCTACTTTGATTGTGAAGACAGGTCCGTGGGCTTGAGTGTTGTGGCGCGGAGGTTCGGAGTCAGTGAACACAGTGTTGGATCAGCAGCAGAGTGACCGGTGCTCGGCTCCAGCCGCGCCTTAACCATTTGACTTGTATTTGCATCATCCCATGAACTATGGTCCGAGGTGCTCACACACAATGAGCGGTTTGCATGTTGGATAAAGTGGACTCAGATGTACCACCTAAACTATCAGGTCCAGAAGCAATGTGTTTGTTTCTATGAAGTAACGTGTGGAATCACAGGTAGGAGAAAATTGGCTGTAGTCACAGAAACACAAGACAATAATTCCAATTGATCTCTTCCAGTTTCTTCTTCATTCAGCTTTGATTTTGTGATGACTCAGTTTAAATTGTATGCTTTGCCTACTGGTCTGTATACACACGGGGCAGTGTGGTCTACACAGCTGTGAAATGGGAATAAATATATCATTTCCACCAAGAAGCTGCAACAAAAGGATATAATTAGACAGTTTCCCTGCAAAGTATATTTCCAGATGATGAACACTTCCTCCTAAACCACGGCACACCTCATGGACGAAGGGATTACTGTCTATATCATTCACTTATGGCTCATCCTGCTTATAGTTGCCTGTGTAAGATGTGTACAGGATGTCTATGGATGTCACTAATGGCCACTGAAAGTACTTTAAATTGATGTACATGCCTTTTGAGTAAGATGTATGGCTGGGTATCTTTTAGATGGTGTATGATCCATACCTTGATGCATCAGCTATGATTCAATATCTGTCTGATTTGTTATACGTCCAAGTGATTTGATATGATTCAGTAGAAAATAAAAGCTTTTGGCTTAGTTCGATGCTGTGTTGGCTTGGGCCTTTTGGTGTGGAGTTTTTTATGTTTCTTCCCACTCCCACCACCAAAACACACAGCAGTATGAATATGGTGAGTGAGTGAATGATGGTGGTGATCAAAGGGGCCAATGCCACAGACTTGCAGCCTCGCTTCTGCAGTTTGCCCAAAGGCTGCTGCAGTTGAAGTAGTAATTCACCATCACCGTGTTCGGAGTCAATGGAAAATGATTTGCAAGACTTCAACAAGCCTGTAAAGCTTATACAAATGTATGGAAATAACATCATTATCATTATTCTTAGCCAATGCTCATCCCTCTTTTAACAAAAAAATTGCTACATTATCTTCCATAAATTTAAAATTGTTGGTACAAAAGTAATTCAAGCCATGCTTCTATTCGTATACTGTGGATCACTATTGTGGGACTATTACAAAATATCAATATTACAAGTACTGTATTGTATCCATGTTTGTATCCGTCTATCCATCGATCCATCTATCTATCTATCTATCTATATATCTATATCTAGTATATATATAGATAGATACTGTAGATAGATAGACAGATACAAACGGATACATGTATATATACATATATATCTTGTATCTATATATTTAAGCGCCCCCTAAATGAACCCATAAAAATCCTACTTTGAAACTTAATAGACCCACTTATTCCAAGTAACGTGGTGTTGGCGTTACTGTGTCCTGGCCTCATTATGTTAGTGGTCTTCTCTGGTCCAGTTGGTTGTGGTTGCTGTGGTTCCCTCTTCATTCTTATCCTACATTTGCATTAAAGTTGAGATAGTATGTAGAGTATGTGGACTCCCATAGAGCCCATGTTTGGAGATGACATTTCAGCAGTAGCACACACAGATATGGGAAAGGTGACATTGCTGAGCTTTCTGGTCCTCTCTAAAAATAGTCTCCCATGTTCAGTCTGTAGTGGTTCGTGTGCTCTTTTTTTTTTTTTACTTATCTCCCATTGACTCCTTTAGCCTGGTGTTAGTTTAATCCTCTTCTCTTAATGAACAACTGCTTCAATTTTGCCTCTGTGTGAGAACAGGTTAATATGACTGCTGGCTGCCATACAACCAGACGGCGCCGCAATATGTTCACATCTTTGACTGTAATCTGGAAGACAGCCATGTTACAGTGCTTTTTCATGACGTCTGCACCGTAATCAGGCCTTAACCTTCTGTTTATGCTTTTAATTGGAGTGAGACTTGTCTTTTAAAACACGCACCGCCAGGAATACTGTGATGTTAAACTCAAATGACAAGCAGATCAGTCAGTATTTCATTTTGAATTGTTGGAGTTTTATTGCTATATTACAAAAGATAACACCTTTCTGCATGCTCGCAATTTTTGCTATGATTCTGCTGTAAAACTCACTTTCCACAGTATATGGTACAACATTTTCTCTGTCTTTCGTTACTTCTATAAATGACCGCAGGGATTGCGCATTAAACTAATCACTCAATAAACCATATGTTGGAAAAGCTCGCACACAATCCACCAGAGACCCTCCACTAAGCTAAAGATATTGATTGACGAGTTGTGATTTATACCCAAAACCATTTTGACCATGTTTGACGCTGGTCTGTCGCCTTCCCAGTTCACTCGTCTGAGATGAGTGACATGTGGAGATGGAGGGAGGTGTCCGGCTTCTTTGAGTGGACTCTATCTTGTGTCAACGTTGTATTTTGTATTGAAAAGCTAGTTATCCAGGACCTATTATTTATTTTGATGCGGGATTGGACCAAACATAAGATTTCAAAGCACTACTGCACTTCCGTCTATGCAGATCTGTGCAGCACTATATCCCACAGCAAATTTCCCTTCGGACAATGTAGTTTATCTTATCTTAATAATATACCTTGAGGCAAATATACAGTACAAGGAACACACCACAACAACAGAAGGCACTATAACATATTTATTGACGGTCTTAGGTTTCTGATTCGAGATACCTCTTCTCTTGGAGTTGTTCAAGGCTGCGAACAGATGTGAGACATGGGTAGGAGGGTTGGGGTTGAGCATTGATCCAAGCTAGAATTGATTGTTTTCTGGGTAAAAGAGGAGTGACCATGGAGGCGAGGTGCGGTTTTCTGACATGAAAAGTCAGTTTCACATAGAACAAAACCTGTGTTTTTCGTGCAAAATCTCCAGGACGTCTGTTGCTTTCAGACTGAGTGACACAGGTTGGCGTGTCAGAACAACTTAGTAATTAAACTCTCTGTGTACCCTATACTTTGACCAACCAAAGCTGGGATCTATATTGCTCCATGTGAATGATAAACTTGCTGCAGTCTGTTATAATGTGAGTCCCTGACCCTGGGAACTTGCACTGTGACTTAAGAAAACTTATTTTGAAAGTCGGATTTGTGTTTTACTTTAAGTCATTATTTTGTCGTACGGGTCCAAGCTTTCATACCAGCATCTTGTGTAAACATTTAGTCCCGAGCTGCGCAATACTGGGTCTGTGGTACGAAAATGCCTTATGTTAACGCTGCCAGAATGTTTTGTCTCTCACTTTTCGCAATTTTATACTTGTGCTCTTGTACGCTTTGATTCTTGCAGGATGTGGAATGCCATAGATCAGATCATTTGTGAAAATTGTGTGTCTTCTCTTCAGCGGCTCATACATAGAGTCATGGGAATGAGCTCTGTGCCCAGGGCTTTGTATCAGAGACTGCTGACCTTGGAGGATCGCAGATGTCGTCAGAATCTCCAATTTGTTTGGAAGGACAGTCTGTTGTGGCTCTACATTTAGAGAATCCCACTACCTGAGATGGATGCTCACGTTCAGACACATCCATTAGCGTTGTACTAAACACATTCAAACATTTATACTGTCAAAAGGCATGTGACAGACTCCTTTTGCGTTCACACACATTGTCGTCAACATGTACTTGTATGTATTCACTCTGTCAGCCTGTATACTCTAAATAGCACATAGCATTGGGCAGCTATTGTGATTATGAATGTATCTATAGTGTGAAAATGTATCTATAGTCTGAAAATTTGCTATCAACAGAATTATTTATACACCGTGTGAGAAATGTATAGCAGTTGGGAGAACATTACCATAAAAAGGACTAATGGGTTTAATTTATTTACTTTAACACCTCCCACTTGAAAATTGGCTTTGGAACACTGCTCCTACTGGCATTTTCTACCTGCGCCTTTTTCAACTCAAAAGATTAAGATACATTACTCTACTGTTTTAAATCTCTTCGGCAACGGTTCTAACATTTTTGCTTTCTGAAATTATCAATACGAACCTTTGTTTATCACCAGTATTTGCATGTCTCATTATTCCCCTTCGTCACCTTCCAGTTTCTGATTATTGTATAGACTTGCATTTCTTGAGATGTTATTATTTCAATAGATCTTTATCTAACTGCACATTCTTTCTCTCTCCAGCGCTGAGCCGTCTTGTTGTAGGCAGGTGGAATTCTTAGCACATGATTCCCACTTCAGCTTATGGTGAGCTAAAAGACACAACATCACGGCCAAATTTCTAAGTTGCTGCCGCTCCGTAGACGCCTCTCCACTGGCTGGCTCCACTGTTAGAGGTGGGCGGCCGGAGAACAGGGCGTCTGTTGCGTCCGAAACTCTCAAATATGAGTGAAAGCCTGGATTAGCTATTTCAGGGGATTGTCTCTGTGATCCTGGGACAGCAGATTTAAGGCCACATCTGTTCAGCTGCACATCTGTCTCGTATCAGCCTCTCCTGGCATTGACTACATATAAAGATTCATTTTGTGGTATTAGATTAAATCAATATTTTGGCAAAGCTGAAATCTTACGCAATCATAGTTGGGCTGCAGGATTAATCACAAACAAATTTGAATCGCGAGTAGAAAATCGCACAGACCGCAATTATGTCAGGTCTTTGGAAAACATAAAGGGACTAAAGATTTAATTTGTTGTCAAATATGTTGCATAACTCAGGTCTGACTAAGATTTGTATGAGAAAAGCATTTACTTTATATATCTTAGACAGTTCTACAGTGATTTTTTTATATCTGCAAGCAAAATAATACTTAGGTTAGAACGCTGTGTTGCGGCTATCCAAACGCGCCGAAACGCTACCATCTAGGCGCTCATCACGAGCGCACCTCACAGCAGGAGACGCGCTCCTCCCAGTCGGCCCCTTCCAATGGCCGTTGTGGGTGGTGCCCTTTTTTCCTTTTTATCAATGATTGTTTGAACGTGTGTGAAATATAAATGAACAATGACTTGTGCTCACTGAGAGAAGTCAAACTTATAATAAAATAAGAAAAGACACTCCTTCCTTGTGTTCGTCCGTAATTTGGGTCATTACTGCAATACGCTGTAAGCTTTTTATGAAACTTGCATTGGGTAATAATTTCATACACAATTTTTTTAATATTAATGTAACTCTCTGGCTCTTACTCATACAGGATATTGAACATCGCATGGCATTGGGCTTGAACCACAGAATCCTGTTTACACTCGTCCTCACATCCAAGTCACTCCTATAACCTGCCCCCGTCATACCTGAGTGACATGTCCACCCATACACGCCGTCCCTTTGTCTCCGCTCTTCATCTGTCCCCACAGTCAAAATGGCCACAGCAGGACCAGAGTATACATCCACTCCGCCCCCAAACTCTGGAGCACTCTGGAGCACTCTGGAGCACTCTGGAGCACTCTGGAGCACTCTGGAGCACTCTGTTCACCTGCGACAGTTGGACTCGCTGGACACTTTCAAATCACATCTCAAAACCGACCTTTTTTTAATTGGCTTATGACATTTTTATTATTATTATTTATTATGTGTGATGTTTTTATTCTATTATAAAGTGTCTAAGGTGTCTTAAAATGAACCTTTAAACTATAATTATTATTGCAATCAAAATGTTGGTCTAAAATATTGCAACTACTGTTGATATTTGGCCAGCTTGTGCAGGCTTAAAAAAACATACATATTTAGGGATATGTATGGATTGTACTTCTACACTATGATTGGTTGAAACTCATTCCTTGTTGTAAATGACTGACCAGCAAATATTCTAGTCGGGAATACAAGACCAAGTACTGACTTTCTAATGTGTACAATCACACAGCCAACACATACTGTACGAAACATTGCATACATCATTTGTTCAATCTCCTTTCTCTCTATGCATGGCCCTTAGACAGAATGAGCTAAGTTTACACAAAGAAGAGTTATTCTGCTACAAATTTTGTCTGAAATACTGCACTTTTCTATCTCGGTTGACAGATGCATTCAATCCACCTATACTTTTCTGGGCTGAATGCTACGAGAACACACAGCAAGTATCCATTTTAAAGTGCGGTCTTGGTGTGGTCCGGCCCCCACCCTGAGCTAAATGTGGAGCCTGTGTTTTACCAGTCTCACTTAGTCATGTGTGCAGAAGTGGACATGGACTATATGATTATTGCATGGAGCTCCTCATGTCTAATTAGGCCTTCCACGGCTGATTACAGAGCTCTTCATGTATGATCGCAGACAAACCTCTCCTGGATATTTGTCCCTCTCTCATTTGGACCTTGTGCCTTTTGCCTTTGAGTGGGTATATGTCCCCGCTCCATCTCTGCAGTCTGCATGTAATCGTTGCACCTCCATCTGTCCCCCCCTGTCTCCCTCTCCCCGGACAGATCCAAACACATTTCTCTTTGATGATCTACAATGTGGTGGTACTATTATCTGGAGAAATGAGAGGAATCTTACTGCGCTCTGGAGCTGCAGGGCTTTGGGCTGTTTCGCGCGGATCGCCATTGTGCGCTCTCAGGGAAGAGCAGAGGCGGAGGGCTCTGTTTCTACGTCAATACAAACTGGTGTAACGATGTGACAGTGATCTCCAAGCACTGCTCTCCTGCTCTGGAATATCTTTTCATTCATTGTAAACCATATTACTCCCCGCGGGAAATTGTTTCATTCATTCTTGCCTCTGTTTACATACCGCCATGCGCGGACGCGCGCGAGGCTCAGCGCGCACTCGCAGAGCAAGTACTGTGTATGGAACGCTTATACCCGGACTCTCTGATTATTATCCTGGGGGATTTTAATAAGGGAAACTTGAGCCAGGAATTACCCAAATACAGACAGTTTATCAAATGCCCGACCAGAGAGGAGAACACTCTGGATCACTGTTACACCACCGTGCGCGGAGCTTTTCGCGCTGTTCCCAAGCCAGCCCTCGGCTTCTCAGATCACTCCATGATACATCTGGTTCCTGCTTACAGACAGAGACTAAAGCTCTCGAAACCTGCAATGAGGAGCTCCAAAGTGTGGTCTGATGAAGCTGTGGAAGAGCTACGCGCATGCATGGAATCTACAGACTGGGACCTTTTCAGAGCTGCCACAGACAGCTTGGATGAATATACGGACACTGTGACGTCATACATCCACTTCTGTGAGGATAGCATCATTCCAACAAGGACCAGGGTCATCTATAACAACGACAAACCCTGGTTCACTGCTAAACTCCGGCAGCTCAGGAAAGCAAAGGAGTCTGCTTTCAGGGAGGGGGACCGCAGCGGCTACAAAGCAGCTAAATATCAGTTCAGGAAAGAACTGAAAGCAGCCAAGTCCCGGCACAGAGAACGACTACAGGAGCAGTTTGGTAACAACGATACTGCTTCTGTCTGGAGGGGCCTACGGGAGATCACCAACTACAAACCCAAAGCCCCCCCCTGTGCTGATGACCACAAGCTAGCTGACGATCTGAACTTATTTTTCAGTCGCTTTGATGCTGCCCCTGACACCTCTCCCTCCCCCACCCCCCACTACTCTAACGACCCACCCATCAGCCCTGCCCCCAGCCTAACAATAGCCGCTAAAGAGATTAAACAACTCTTCCTGAGGCTGCACCCCCGCAAAGCTCCTGGCCCGGACCACGTGTCTCCGGCCACTCTGAGACACTGCGCCAGTGAGCTTACTCCTGTGTTCACGGACATTTTCAACTCCTCTCTGCAGTCCTGCCATGTCCCGGCCTGCTTCAAATCCTCCATCATTGTCCCCGTCCCGAAGAAGCCCAGGATCACAGGACTCAATGACTACAGACCTGTAGCACTTACGTCTGTCGTCATGAAGTCATTTGAACGCCTGGTTCTCTCCCATCTCAAGTCCCTCACCTCCCCCCTCCTGGACCCCCTGCAGTTCGCCTACAGAGCCAACAGATCTGTAGACGACGCCATTAACCTGGCCCTCCACCACATCCTACAGCACCTGGACTCCCCGGGGACCTACGCCAGGGTCCTGTTCGTGGACTTCAGCTCTGCCTTCAACACAATCCTGCCATCCCTGCTCCAGGACAAGCTCTCCCAGCTCAACGTGCCCGATTCCACCTGCAGGTGGATCACTGACTTCCTGACGGAACAGGAAGCAGCGAGTGCGTCTGGGGAAGAATGTCTCGGACTCTCGGATTATAAATACAGGAGCCCCACAGGGCTGTGTTCTTTCTCCCCTGCTCTTCTCCCTGTACACCAACCACTGCACCTCCAGCCACGACTCCGTGAAGCTGATCAAGTTCGCGGACGACACCACCCTCATTGGACTCATCTCCAACAACGATGAGTCCGCCTACAGGAGGGAGGTGGACCGGCTGGTGTCCTGGTGCAGTGGTAACAACCTGGAGCTGAACGCCCAGAAGACAGTGGAGATGATTGTGGACTTCAGGAAGAGCACTGTCCCCCCGCCCCCACCCTCCGTGATGGACTCCCCCATCACCTCTGTGGAGTCCTTCCGTTTCCTGGGCACCACCATCACCCAGGACC